CCTGTAACACGCCCTGCAACAACATGTAAAGCCGTTCTTCCAGCAACAGTGATGCCTCCCCACACCATAACAGAACCACCCCCAAATCGATCATGTCTGATGACGTTAACGTCTTGGAAGCGCTCGTTTCGACGACGCCACACCCTCCTACGTCTGTCCGAAAAATCAACAGTGAACCTTGACTCATCTGAAAACATCACATTGCTCCAGCGTCGATTATCCCAGTGTTGACGATCCCTACACCAACGACGTCTTGCCTGAATGTGATGATCTCTCAAACAAGGGATCACGCGAGGACGTCGGGCGCGAAGGTGACCCCTATGCAGTCGATTCCGAATCGTCTGGCCACTCACTCTCACACCAGTGTCTGTTTGAAGACGAGCGCTGATCTGATTTGCTGTGATGACACGATTTCTCAAGGCCAAGGTACGGATAAATCGATCCTGGGCTTGAGTTGTCGCCCTTGGTCGACCTGAGCGTGGTCTGTCCTGTACAGATTGTGTATCACGGTATCTGGACCATAGCCTGCTTATGACAGACTGAGAAACATTCATCGTCCGCGCCACAACCGCCTGTGTTGTGCCGATCTGTAGCATGCCAAGGGCACGTAACCTTTCATTTTGGGTAAGCCGACGCATATCAAAATTTGTTTTCTGGTCACTAAAACAATTAAACTGATGTTTCCACCCTGGAATTCAATGCCACAATGACTGTAACATTCAAAGTCAGAGTCGTGCAAATCTTGGGTTGGACCCCCATGATGATCCCAAGTATCACCTGCATTCCATGCGGTAGCTATTGGTGCGTTTGGGCGTCACATGTAACTGGAAATGTTTCTTCTGTTAGGTTCTATAGTGACTTTTTTCGTAGTCATTTGCATATTTTAGTATTATGCCCCCAAAATCAAATATCCCCTACTTTTTTTTAATAGTATACTTAGTATTTTTAATTTAATACTGCTGACTGGATATTATCCAAAGGAATGGGCTTCTTCAATCATCCATCCCATATTCAAAAGCGGTGATCCAGAAAACCCAAGTAACTACCGGGGAATATCACTATCGTCATCTTTGAGTAAAATATTTTCAAAAAATTGTGAACAATAGACTAACAAAATGGTGTGAACTCAATGATAAGCTGTTGGAATCTCAAGCCGGTTATAGAAAGGGGCGTAGTACTATTGGTCACATCTTTACATTGCAGTCCCTAATACAAAAATATTTGTCAAAGAAAAATGTTAGATTTTATTGTCTATTTATAGATTTTAGTAAAGCCTACGATAGTGTCCATCATCGGTGTGTTCCCACTTAGCCGGCAGACTGTTAATCCTTTGATTGATCTTAAAACTATAGTCTGTTTAAAGGTAGTCACTCAAGAACTGTTCACTAGTGTTCAGCGTTAATGAGCTCTTAATCCCTCTTAATATAATTTATTAACCAACTAATTAATGACATTTTGAACACAGTTCATGCCGGCGTTATGATTTCAAACATGAATTCAATTCACTATATTAATAGGCCTCGCGTTAAGAAATATCGACAACTTGATACAAGAATTGAACATTTGAAAACACAGTTATTAAATGGCTCTTTAAGTGTAAATCGGTATGGAACAAATATTTTCTATTTAGTGGGGCTGTAAAATGATTGTTGTGTTGTAAGGCATTTATTTATAAATGTGTTAAATGTGTAAATTGTAATGCATTTTTATATGTGTAAATCATTTAATGTTATTTAATAAATATTAAATTTGTTAAAATCAATATATTTTTATGTGTAAGCTATTTAATGTTATTTAATAAAAGTTAAATTTGTTAAAATCAATACAGTTGTAGTCTTAAAAAAGATATGGACTATAGTTTATAACACCATTGTTCTAGGATTAACTTCAAAATTTGACATCAAAGCCTGCCGGGTAAGTGGGAACACCCCATTTCAAGTTATAAAAAACATGTATAAACATTTGAAATCATGTGTAAAAAGTGATAAACTAAAACTAACTGACTACTTTAAATGCAGAATTGGTACGAAACAGGGCTGTACTTTAAGCCCATTAATATTTGTGTTATTTCTGAATGAACTACATGAAATGATGGCTGAATTTGGTAATCAGGGTATATTTGTGAATTCTGAAATATCGAATATAATTTCTTTAATGTACGCAGATGATATTGCCAATGTATCGGACACTGTTAATAGACTCCAAAATCAGGTTAATTGTATTCATGAATTCTGCAAAAAATATGGTATGCAAGTAAATGTAAATAAAACTAAGATAATAGTATTTCACAGAGGTGGAATTGTTAAGGCAAATGAAAAGTGGTTTTATGGCAGCAAACCTTTGGAAGTTGTTTCTTTCTACAAGTACCTGGGAATAATGTTTACCCCGAAACTTTGCTGGTCCCTTGCCACCACTACATTAACCCAACAAGCCACTAAAGCTTCTAATATGTTAAAAGCCTTCGTTTCGAAATGCTCTGTGAGTGTTCAAGAATTTTTATTTCTCTTCGACAGAATGATTTTACCTATTTTAACTTATGGCTGTGAAATTTGGGGATTTGTTGATATAAAAAATATTGAAAATGTACATTTAAACTTTTGTAAATTTATACTTCATGTAAATTCAAGAACTTCACATGCTGCTGTGTATGGTGAACTTGGTCGAGAACCTATTTATATTACTTATATGACAAAGCTTATAAAATACTGGTTAAAACTGTTAGAAATGCCAACTGACCGTTACCCCAAAGCCTGTTACAACATGTTATTATCTTTAGACAATGCAGGAAGAATAACGTGGGCAAGTAAAGTTCGAAATATATTGTATACACATGGGTTTGGATTAGTTTGGGAGCAGCAATGCATTGGGGACAAAAGTGTATTTTTAAGGCAATTTAAGCAACGTTTAAAAGATGTAAATTCTCAAAACTGGTGTAGTAAAATAGCAGCTAGTTCTAAACTGTCTAACTACTCGGCTTTTAAATGTTCCCTTTCATATGAAGCGTATTTATCTGATGTACATATTAATGCACATAAAATATCACTGACAAAATTTAGATGCTCAAATCATCATCTTGCAATTGAAATAGGTCGTTGGACTGGTAGAGTTAACAGAATTTGTACTGTAAAAATGTTGTCAATAAATCTCACATTGAAGATGAAATCAATTTTATTGTGAAATGTACCTTACATAGTGATATTAGAAATGCACTATTAACCTTAAAAGTCAATTATTTAAGTGCAACTGATGCCTTTAAACTTATTATGTGTAATTATAATCAAGTTCAGCTAGCAAATTATGTGTATAGTTGCATGAGGTTAAGATGTAAATATATCAACAGTTTATAATTATTTATAATTATGTATATATTTTCATGTTTTTTTGTATATCATTGTATCGCTTGTACTTTGGGCAGAGGGCCTTGGATATTGAATAAACAATTATTATTAATGATTCCAGCGACGCTTGGAGATTATGAATATTTTAATATTTTCTCCAACTCCGACAGGGTTGGACTGGTTAGCTCCGCGCCCTCGGACCAACTGATTTCCTTGGGCTCCTTCGCGGTGACAAGGCGATAAAACATAACTAGATGGATTCACCTTTACCGCACCCCGACTCATTGATCATTTTTCTCCTCAGATTTGGGCTATTATATTTCTTAGTAGATTCGAAGATGAATTTTGGTTACATTGAAAAAGATCTGCCAATTGCTTTCCAGTCGGTGCCGATTATAGGCCATTATATTCTTCAGTGCCATTGCCAGTGGATTCGAAGATGAATTTTAGTTACTTTGAAAGAAATAATTATGTCAATTGTTTTCCAATAAGGGCCTATGCTTACACCGCGGAGAAAAGGTTTACACCCCGGAGAAAACTTTATACCGCGGAGAAACTTTATACCGCGGAGAAAAGGTTTACCCCGCGGAGAAAACTTTATGACGCGGAGAATAGGTTTACACCGCGGAGAAAGGGTTCACTCTGCGGAGAAAAGGTTTTTCATGATTTTTCGATTTATCACAGTTTTCACTGCGATTTATCATATGAGGTAAACTACTAGAAAAAGGTATAAATCAACATATGGCACAATAATAAACAAGAAAGCTTTATTGTTGTCAATCTGAAACAAAATTTAGGTATTTACTGAATCTTTTAAAAAGGTAATTTTTTTTGTAGGGTGGATATAGTAAGTAAATATACAAACCCTGAAATATGAAAATTGTCGAATTGATAGTTTAGAGCACAAACCAAACTACTGTGCGCAACTTAGTATTATCAGAGGAGACACTGGCAGACACTGAGAAATTGTCAAAGAAAGCTCACGAAAATCCACCACAAAAATAGCTAACAAATATAATCGAAATATAACGGTAAATTAGATGACAATTGGAATTGCGCGATTCATACACAAATCTGCCATGGAATAACAACAATTACAATTTTATCATTATTTTATCTTCAGTCATATCCCATAGATCATTATTATCTGGCGGTTAAATGTTTTGTAATACATATTAACACGCCCTATTATTCGACTGGGCTTGATATGTTGAATTTATGTAAATTAGGCCATTTCCTCAGCCCGAATATCAGAGAACTTTGGATGTGCTGTAAGGGATGATCCCACGAACACAACGATACCAATAAACCTTCTGCTGCAATTTTTTCTAGGTTGCCCTAAAATTAGCGTAGATTGACTGGATTAGACGGACATATACCGTGCAGTGTGCTATTAGAGTAATTTTGTCAGGACAACTGTGCTTCGGCCTATCCCTTTTTGGACTTCCAGCTGGCAAGGGTTGTTTTACATGCACACGCACGTGTACACTTGATTTTAAGTTTTTGTTATATCCAAATAACTTGAAACATTTTCTTGTCAGGCCCCGTTCTGCACAACAGACATGGGGTAATTAGATGAACCAAGTTAGCTACCCAGCGTCTTACCCCTACAGCCATCGCGGCTCCCAAGCCTAAACATGAAAGTAAAACTTTACTACTCACGCGTTACTTATAACTAGTGCCGGTCTCCAAAGTTCTGATTGTGATGCAAATATAAACTTAACTCTGCCATATTCATCCTCATTCCACCTCAATCGACCGTCTTCCCATATCTGAACATTAAATTAAAAAGATATATTTGTCTCTAAACAAATTTAAAGCATACATTCTGTTAGGACTCTTGAATGGTGGACAAAATTGGGACTTAGTACTAATAGGGTTTACTATACGTTAAAAAAGTCCTAATTGGGAGATATTATGTCCTAATTAGGAGATAGTAACTCCTAATCGGGAGATAATAACTCCTAATCCTGAGCGTAGCTCCCAATTAGGACATATTAACCCTGAATTAGGGCCAAGCATCTCCCAATTAGGACCAAATACATTTAAAAAAGCTTATCCGAAATGAAAACTCAACCCATTTGCGATATCTGATCTCTGCTTTATTAACGAGCTTGCAAAATGTTCAAACCTGTAGCCTCTATCGCGTCCAAGAGGTTTCGGGAAATAGGAGTAACTCCTAAATAGAAGGTCGCGGAACGAGGAATATCGATAAAGTTTGTCCTTTCATGAGTCCAATGCTTCACACTCAATTACAGGGAATAGGTCCGAGTACAAAATTTATCTCTAATACAGTTTTCACAACCTATATATATATATATACACTCTGCCCCCCCCCCCATTGTCTCGCCGGAACTAAACAGCCCCCCCCCCCATTTGCATATCGCCCCTACAAACAGCTTCCCCAAACCCTTTGGAACATGGATAGGTCCCACACCAGACGCCCTCTTCTTCACACGCCCACGCATCTACCAATGGATTGGTCTCAGTTATGAAACAGATTCCAACCACCACCAGGCTTCTACCAACCGCCACCAGGCTTCTACCAATCACAGCCAGTCTTCCATGAACTACCGCCAGTCTTCCACCAACCACCGCCAGGCTTCCATCAACCACCGTCAGGATTCCAGCGCCAACCAAACCAAGGCCTACCAAAGCAGCGCCAACCAAACCAAGGCCTACCAAAGCAGCGCCAACCAAACCAACGCCTACCAAAGCAGCGCTAACCAAACCGACGCCTTCCAAATTAACGGCAACCACCCTCAGAGAATTCAAGTTTCGTTTCATCAAAACTTTCTTCACGGTCCTCCAATGCCTCCACCATTTTACCATTATGGAGAGCCAGGAGAACGGAGCACCCACCAGAAGTTTAGCCTGGAAGATCCTGGATCTGAACAAGTTTGTAAAGCCGGCCATGAAAACACCTACCATAGCCACTACCATTGAACCTGAAATGGGCCAAGGACGTCGCCTCATCCCTGTCAACACACTACCGAACCATGCTAGCGGATACACTGGAGTACTTGAAGTCACGTCACTTTACCAAAGACGCCGTACAGGAGTACTCTAGCCACGCCCTAGCATGGGCCAAGAAGTTCCACGGCAAGCGACTTCAGGATAGTGTGAAGACAGAGTTCCACCGCCTCCTGTCCACTCTCCCTAAAGCTGTTACTTCTCCTCTCTCACCCGTGCAGAACATATGCAACCTTCCCCAGGAAACACCTAAACGAAACACCTAACAAGAGAACATCATCACCCGGGAAAGGCACATACATTAACACTCCCTCGAGACGTGCAGCTAGGCCAACCAGTCTGTCCCAGGTTTTGCCTAGTTCACCATCGTCCTCAGGTTCCATTTCTCCACTGAACGCTCTCATCGACTGTCTGTCTCCTAGATCGCCCCCATTCATATCCTTGACACCACTGCCAAGCCTTCTATCAGCTGCAGACGATCACTCAGACTTTCCACGAAGAGACCCCACAGCTACAAAGGTAAAGATGGAGAATTTAAACTAGAATCAGGGAAAAGGAATGAGAAGCTGTCTTTCGGACAGACAGTTGTCAATTTGAGCGACAGACCTCTCAGCCCCCTAGAACTTAGCATACTTGACAAAGGCCTCAAGTTTATCCCTACCCCCACGATAACATCGATAGACCTCATTTTTTAGGCAACCGATCGATTTCAAAGAACCCTTTCATTGACATGTTTTTTTTAGGAACAAACCCGGCAGAGGTAAACAATTATTTACAGAAACATCTACATGTAAACCATCGAACAATTCATTATCACCAGCCCTTCTAAACAATTTCGACAATCAACCACAATCACAAATACCAAATCTCAACCGGGCCGCAAAAACAGCATTAAATACCCCCAAAAAAGACAAAAACATTAAATAAGAAAAGTGACAACGGCCCGTGTTGTGTCATTATGAATCGCACAGACTATATCTCAGATCAAGTAATCCTAAACATTACACTAAATAAGACCAACCAATCTTTAAGGACACCGCAATCTTAATAAAGCATATCTTACATGAACTGCAAGACAAGGAATACATAACAGCAAAACAATATGATTATCTATCCGCTAAATCTGACTGCCGACAACGGCATCTCTATACACTACCAAAAATACATAAAAATCCAGAAACAGAATGGTTTATACCTAATAAATTACCCAAGGGACGCCCAATAATATCAGACTGTGGCAACGAATCATACACCGTATCACAATATATAGACCATTTCTTATTACCCCTAGCATGCCAACACGCTTCCTATCTTAAAGACACCAACGATTTTATTCACAAAATCAAACAGTTAAGAGTCCCTGAGCACACCATCTTAATATCCATCGACGTACAGAGCATGTACACGAACATCGATAACAAGCCAGCAGTGAGGCTGATGACCCCCGCCGAAAACCCCAAATAAATAGATGACACATATTAATTAATCGCGCATCTATTTTTTTCAAAAGAATCGAGCAATCAAACTGATTATCAACTATACACTTATTTTCATCACTCTCCATCAGTTAGAATCAAAGTTATCTTGTCCCAAAGTATCGACCAAGGAAATTGCTTATCTCTGCTTAGCTTTAGCTCGATATGTTAATCATTGAACTCAGTCAAGACGAACATCTACATCAAGTTTAAACATTCTACCTGAATTAGAAGCAGAGTTGTTATGTTCGAAAGTCTTGACCAATCAAAATGCTTATTGCTGCTTAGCCTAAGCAGACAATTCTCATCATCGAACTTAGTCAAGGTATTGATGTAATGAAACTATACACCAAGTTTCATCACTCTCACTTAATTAGAACTAAAGTTATCGTGTCCCAAAGCATCAACCAATCAAATTGCTTATCTCTACTTACCATAAGCAGAAAATGTTCATCTTCGCACTCTATCAAGGCATTGACCTAATAAAAACCTACACCAAGTTTGAACATTCTACCTCAATTAGAAGGAGAGTTATTGTGTCCCAAAAAGTGTGACGAACAGACAGACGGACGGACAGACGGACGAACCCATTTTAATAGTCCCCTCCTTTCTTCGAAAGGCGGGGGACAATAACACAGTTAGGAAAGCATTTATTAGAAACCTACAAACATCCAGACCGGGCGAAGAAATCCTCAAATTACTCGACATTTGTCTGGGGAGGAATGACTTCACATTCAACGATCAAGTATACCTCCAGTCTTCTGGAACTGCGATGGGAAAACGATTTGCCCCGAGTTACGCAAATCTCTTCATGGCGGAGTAGGAAAGGGAAGTTTTGCTACTCTGCCCACTAAAACCAGATTTCTATGGACGTTTCTTAGATGACGATTCCATAGTCTGGACGTACACACTAGACGAATTTTGGGCGTTTTTCAACATTCTGAACAATCATCATCCATCTGTCAAATTAACCGCAAATGTAAGTCATAACAGCATAGATTTTCTTGACACCATCGTTTTTAAAAGTAGTAACATCAATAACACTGGCCAGTTGGAAACTAAAGTGTTTTTCAAAGAAACCGATACACACCAATTACTGTTCAAAAGCTCCTTTCACTCAAAACATACGTTCTCTGGCATTATAAAATCTCAAATTCTTATGACCCCAAAGCTTCATATTAAATTTGAAAATAACATATTAAAGGGACAATAACACTCTTGCTGGCTTGAAAGCTCCAGAAAATAAATAATGTCTCTATCTAAGTACTAGATGTTTAAGTGTCCTACCTGTTGTGTTAATTATCCATTACATCCTATTTTACTTGTCCAGAGGGTTCGAAAATATTTTTAAATCAAAGTTTCATTTGAAAAGGTCTACGTTAGACGTTTCAAACCATTATGTTGAATTTTTCAAAATTTTTAAATAAGGTGTGTTAAGATGAAATTTGTATCATCAATTAATTGAAATATTCTAAAATAGTACAATTTGTTGACCTGAATAAAGATTGGGGCATATTATTCAGTTACAACAAGAGTGGTATTGAGCCTTTAAGCCTCTCTTGCGCTCAAACAGTTTTCGGCAAAGGGTGGGCGTTGTAACTCTAACACGAAATGTTGTGGAATGCTGCATATCGACATGATTCGTCATCGCAAGACCCCAATAAGTAACGTCAAATTTGAATAAAATAAGTCTTAAAACTCTATCGCATTCACAAGCTTTGGGCTGAGAACGCTAAATATCGATAGGGCTCTCGTCGCCCCAATGCTTCACACAAAATTATAAAAAAAGCCTTAAAACCGACAACCTCTTTCGCGTTAACAAGCTTTTCGGTGGGAATATTACTACAGAATGGAAAGTCGAGGAACGATGGATATGGATAGGGTTCGCCCAATTTTTTTGTAAAAAATAATCGCGTTCACAAGCATATTGTTGACGGAAGGAAGGACGGGCAAACAGGCAGACGGCCAGAGTCACGGGTTTATCCTGGTTCCACTGCAAGCCAATAAGAGAATATCTGAATTTATCATTAAAATAATAACCACACATATACAGATGTTATAAACATGCCCTCCTTGTACATTATATAAATACTTTCAATTTTGTTATGTGTATTGTGTGTTTTAGCCGATGGTTCTTGGACCTAAGAGAATAAAGAACTTGAATTTGACATTAGGAGATACTAAGATCAAATTAAGTCCTAATTAATATTAGGAGAAACTAAGTCTTAATTACGTGATGCTAATTAAGGGATACCGAGTCCTTATTAAGATATGCTTACACCTTATTAGGATATGCTTACACCTTATTCGGATTTAATGAAATGTTTAACACATGCATTTGACCCCAATAGCAAGTCCTAATTAGGGGATAGTAAGTCCTAATTAGGACTAGTCTTAATTTTAAAGGAGCTGCTATCTCCCTATATTAGTCTTAGTGTCTCGTAATTTGTAGTTAGTATCTCGTAATTAGATCTCACTGATAGTTTTTATCTTATCTATAATTGGCCCTAACTCAGATTCAATGAGAATATTTAGCACGTGCATTTGACCCCAATAATAAGTCCTTTTTAGGAGATAGTAAGTCTTAATCGGGACTAGTCTTAATTTTAAAGGAGCTACTATCTCCCTATATTAGTCGTAGTATCTCGGAATTAGTAGTTAGTATCTCGTAAATAGTGGTTAGTATCTCGTAATTGGTAGTTAGTATCTCGTAATTAGAACTCACTCATAGTTTTTATCTTATATATTTGGCCCATTCGCTTCCGCAAATTTTGCATTTTATTTGTAACGAAGATAAATTTAAATCCAAATCCCTCAAAAACTTATTTATATACTCACCATGGTCAACCAACCACTTACTTCAAATGACTGATCTTTGATACTCTATAACAAAGTTAAAAACACAACATTATTTTGTAACATGGTATACGTGGAATAAGTATACAGGTCACAATTCAATGGAATACATTTACTGCTTATTGATGTGGACGTTTCGACAAGGATTCTCTATTCATTATCAAGCAATGATAAATATAACGAGACAATATACACGTAAAAAACAATAATTGGTTAAAGATGCATAATGTAAGAGCTAAAGCTATTATTTATTCACACGACCATCATATAATTAACTCTTTAGGCTATCCGATGGCTGAGATTTAAACGGATTAAAACACAGTCATCATTTAATGATCTAATTTAAAAATGGCGAATCGAGGCTAAGTCTGGAATAACAGTGATAACTACGCCCAGAATAAAGTAATTTGAATGACATTTTAAAGGTATTCATTTTGCATTATCCATTTTTGAACTTTTATTTCAAAAACGACCAAATCTTTAATGCTGACCAACCAGAGACACCCTTCTAATTACCTTGAAGGAAACCTAACATAGAATAATTACACAGACCCACCTTTCAAGTATATAATTTTAAAAGCGAAGAACCGTATAATCATCATTCTGATTGGCTAATACAAATTTAAAAAAAAACAACCTAGAAAAGTCCTCTTGCAATACTATCCCCATCTAACTTTATTGATTACTTACCAATTCATTTACAGTCAACAAATTAAACATTATTTGTACTGTCAGCATCTGTTCTGGGCGAACATTCGCATTGTATCTGCTGGCATTGAACAGTTGAGTACGTAAATTTGTTTCATTAGCTATAGTAAATGCATGTAATGCTGAAAAGTGAAATGCAAGTCATTTTATCATAAAATTTTGAATTAGATATCAAAATCATGAGAATGTACAATAAAAAAATTTTTTTTTGAGAATCGTTACGAAAATAATAGAATGTTTCTAAAAATTTTGGCGATTTAATCTTTACATTAGTTTCTAGTGACTTCACACCGAAATTTAATAAAAATTGTGAAACCCTTTCTTTACAAGCCAGTCCATTCCCTGGAAGGTCTTTTTAAATTTAGATGAGCTTTATGATATAATAACAACATCTTTACATTAAATAGACTATGTGGACGATTTAGCTTGCTGTGCCTTTGGTCCAATGTTTTCAGATACAGAGTGGCTATTGTTACGACGAGTCTGAGCCAAGTTTAGAACGAATTCCAAAATGGCTGCCAATCGTCCCAACACCAGCTTTGAAAAAGGAGCAGTATTTTCAACGTTTTCAGAACTGAAGACAGCAATTAAGAGATGGGAAGGGTTAGGTTTAAGAATTTGGGGGGAGAGGTTTGTAAATGAATAATTGTAAATGAATAATTGTATCAAATTGTATTTTCTGAAAAACATGATCGGGTAATGGCCGTCCCGTAAATTGCTTACACCAGTAAATTCTTGGCTCGCTATGAGGGAAATTTTGTATGGACAGCGGCTTTACAGCCTACTCTTATATCGAATTCCAACTGTAAAGGGCTCTTTACGTTCACACAAAATGTATATACGTGACCTCGATTTTTCGTCCCATACGAACAACTAGACGCTTTCGTTGTCAACCCCTCTGTCATGCACCACTGACACGGGGAAATTACACTGAGACAGAACACAATTCTATGGAGTGACATTTTTTAAAAAGGTATATCTAGTCATTATCAAGGACAATATACATGTACCTTTGTTCGGCAAAATCGTAGAGTTTTCTGTAATACTTAGTTCGTTTTAAGAGAAGAATAATCTACGACAAGGTATTATCAGTTATAATCATTTGCTAACATTCAATATTTGACCATATAGCGCAATTCGGACATCCTATCTAAAAAGTGACCGACTTCTATATTGTTACGATTTCATAACCTAATTGATCTGACAACGTGGTTAGAGCGATAAAGTGTGGATTGGTTGATCAATGCCGCCCCCCCCCCCCGATTTTCAGATCGCAAGTTATTCCGGGCATAGAACATGCCCCAAAGATCAAAGAGATTTACCGTTAAAGGTTTATAAGTACATGTAAACATAGGCGGTTTATAAGCAAGATAAAGTCCTTGACTTCGGTTATGCTGGGAAGAAAGACTTTAGAAAAAAGAACGTCGGTTTTGCTATTTCTTTGGGTTATTTTCTTCAGCCTTTCTTTCTCCAGCATAACCTCAGTCTTGTGTTTTATCCTTCACATAAATACTCTATACGAGGTAATTGGTTGGGGTTAGTGTTAGCTTTCATCAATGCACTATTTATGACACAATCTTCGCAAACGCAAACACTGTGGTTTGTTTTACCATAAGTATACTACTAATACTACTTAACGCTATCAAGGTATGGACCATGCATGATTTAAATAAAATAAAGCTTATTTAGTCTGGTACTTACACACAGTTTGGTACAAAAACAGGACGCAGAAAGTTATAACCATCTTCAGCTTTTCAGAAAGAATAATTCAACGTATCACAAAATTATATAGGTTTGGTCCACAGGGATACTATGTTCCATAAATCATCATATTAGTACTACGAAAAACTGCTAGCTTAAAGGCTTCCAGGTTACAATGCGATATATATATAGGTCTGAACTGGAATGTTTATTTGGTTGTCATGAATACGCATGAAAGAATCATCGATATCAATTATTATTTGCATAATTCTGATTTAGTGTATTTACCCAGGACAAAAATGTTACATCAATTAATAACTGATACCTGGAATAGATAACACTAATTTTTAATAACTCTTTGTTCCCACTAGAGGTTCTGTTTTCAGCGACTCCTATGAATACACACGCAATTATTAGGTAACATGTATTACTCATTAAGGGGGTAATCACATGTTTTACAATCGACCAAATAAATAGTTTCGTGTTTTTAATTTCGAATATTATGGAAAATATTGAGTTAGAGGTTTAGCTCCTTTAAAGTCGAAATTTTACCCCCAATAAACTATAAGTATCGACGTGTATTCCTACTTATTCTAGAACACGTGATGTCACATTTCATTTTGTTGGTAACATTATGGTCTGCGGTTACTATTCTGTCAAAAATTTCAGATCACTGCCAGATGATTGCAACAATATTTGATATTTGAAAGCTCCCACTTATTTCTCCATTATGGATATACAACCAGCACATATTTCCAATTATAAATAAACCCCTATTCATAAAATTGTGAAATTCTCTTTAAATGTTTGTCCACTAATGGAAGCTAGGTATAAATTAATAGTGTTATAACGTAGCGGCTTATTTAGAGCTCTGAGTTCAATACTAATAATATTAGAAACCGATCGATTTTTAACTGATTGATTTTATAATTTAAAGGGGAGTAGGCTATGTGTTGTTTATCAAAACCAGCAATGTTTTTCGTTGACTATAATTAATCAATTTCATACCGGGAGCGAAAGTATTGATGACAAAAATTACTAATTCAAAGCATGAGGCCAGATACGCCCTAAAGCCGTATGTTTATTATATTGTATTAAGAGTCTTCTTGCTCTATAGTAATATCTAGAATACAAATAAAGCATGCGCTCGGTATCTACTACGATTACCATTTAAAGTTCAAGAAGGCCACACCACAAACAAAAAGTCTACGAACAGTTTTACGAAATTCAGCGAGAAAGCGTAGTCTCTTTACCGTATCTGGTCAAAAAACTCAAGATCATTTCACACATTCATGTATATAATAGATAATAATTATTTAACTGATTTTAAATTTTCAAAGGATACCAAGTGAAATCTGGCATTTCTCATTCAAAGTAACACGATGAGTTTGATTGTTTTAAAATATTTGAAAATATTAAAAGAAATAGGACACTACAGAAGTAAATTAGAACGATCCGCTATGCGATTCCTGAATGCAATGATGACAACACTATCGAACTTGACTTAGTAAAGACTAAAGAAATGAATAACTTACAGAAATGTTAATGGTTGGTTATGATAAATTCACGACTTTAATCGTAGTGCTGCCTTGTTTAATAATTTCAGTACAGATCAGAATCTCATCCTGGTAACTTATAATCTCAACTATTGTTAACGCTTAGATTGTACTACTTCAAAGGTAATGCAGGCGGGTTCTATGGTTTTACAAAGTAAAAATAATTAATTAACATTAAAATCTCTTACTTCCATTAGATGATATTAGTAATAACTATATCCTGGCAAAACATTTTGAGAATGCAAAAGCCATAAATTTTATTATTGCGGGAGAAAATGTAACCACATCCTTTTAAAAAATCAAGTTATACTTATCTCGTATAATACTGTAAGCATTAATAATGTTGCCTATTTAATGAATTACAATTAAAAATCAGGTTTTCTTTCTTTCTGGAAAATGTCGAAATCTTTAAGGTCGATTTTGTCAACCCTCAATAACATTTTACAGGAACATTATATTATAAGTATTTGGCTTGTTACTGCATCCTACCCACTTGTATTTCAAAATGATAAATTGTAAATATTAATCTTCCGTTGAATAAAATACTGTTTAAACCATATAACAAAACGGTTTGTAATACCTTGCAAATATACAGAATCAACAGTAGGAATATTATAAATAAAAATTGAATAAAAGACCTGGTATGTATCGATTCAGAGTCCATTAGATTTATTAGATTAATCATCGATATATTATTGAAACCGTTTACATTACACATTGATATTAAGTATATAGAAATAATCAATTTAAATTAATTAGTTTAACCTTTGTGTGAAACATGCGAGGGCATGTTAGGCTCGTGGAGATAAAAGAAATTTTCAACATACAAGTGCATAATGTTATTTATATCAATACTGTAATTTCGGCAAAGAAAAGAATTCAATTAAGAGAGAATTATAAATAAATATTAATCATCTGCAACTCATTGGTTTATATTTATTGATAGATCATTAGTTTATATTGATTCTACTTAACAGTCTGTATTATATCTATGACAGCGGCAGTTTTAGCGAATGGTACCTTTGGAATCTTGGCCAAATATTAATTTTCTTGTTGATAACTATTTGGCCAAGCACATAACCTTTATCATTATACGCATGGAATAAAACGGTTTATTGTACCGTATACATATAACGTGATTCTTGTTGTAATGTAAAGGAACCACACATGAGTCAATTCGTGCGCTTAAAACAAAAAAATAGAGGCTTTTTTGGAGCACTATCGTCACTGCGACATTGTTTTTAAATTTATAGACAAGGAATAGAGAAATAAGATGGTTTAAACAACATTTTTATCTTTACAAATTATTCTCTATGGTCAGTATATTAGCTATGGTATGAGTTTATTTAAAACGCAAATTAATTGTTTATGTAATTGTGTGAGAATAATAGGAAAGAAAGTCTGAGTTCAAGGATAGATTGTGTCGAAAAACATGTGACGGAAAATTACGATTGCATCATTTGGCCAATCTGTATACTTATTTACATGATATTTGACCAATTAGATAATTGAACGTCCAAAACCCACAGCTACAAAATTATCATACTTGTGAGAATTCGTTAGACAACAGACAGATTCTGGAAGGGAAAAGATGTAACCATTTCTATTCAGCAGACTCGCCCAAATCGAGTCTGGCTGGCTAGGGTTGAGAATAACTTTAGTATTGTATTCTATACTATGTTTATGTGTATCCAGCTTGATATATAAAATGTAAAAACGAACAGTTGCATTGTTATAACTACTGAGAAGACAAACGTCTTAAGAAAACAGTAAGAAGTAAATACACAACGTGAAGCAGAATTAAAGACAGCTAGAGACAAATTCTAGATGATCACAAGGCTACAAAGAAATGTAGTAAGAAAAGATGCATGGGTAGTACGTAGGATGTGGCGACCGATTATGATCTCCCGCTCTCTACGCCGGACAGAAGGCCCATGGTGCTACATTTTATTGGCGTTATGGTTTACTCCAACATTGCTTTACTTGAATAAAATGGCGGAACTCTACATAGCAAGGTTTAACTGTACTGTATTCTTCAACAGAAAAGAAATGACACTTCATCAATCAAATAAAAAACGATTCTACCATGCATTGATGTGTTTCTGATCGATCATACTAATCACCGTCAATAACTAAAAAGATCGTTCATTTGACAAAAACGCCCACAGTGACCGACAACGAAAGGTATATTACACATTAAATAAATGAATGAAATGAGGTTTAATGCCCTACTTTTCTGTATCAACCGGGATAATGAAGACGGACGTATATCATACAGTTTGCCATGAGTGACATTTTCCCCGGAAAGCAATTGGATTCTATCTGTCAAGGGTTATTGTAGGTTGCACGGTTCCCCGGTTTTACGTGACATCCGAACGACTAGACGCTGTACCTTGCCTTACCACCCCTCCCCTCCTCCCCACGTCCTGCACAAATGACATGGGAAAGCCGTGCCCCAAATTCATAATGCCAGCCGTCTTTATTTTGAAATATCTCCATTAATGTTTATCCAAACATAACTAGTTTGGGACTGCTTCATGTGGATAAGTTTATTTCGTATCCTGGGCTATGTGATTGATTGTTTCATGCCTTGGGGAGCCGCGGTGGCTTAGTGAATAAGACGTTGGCTTGCTAACCAGGAGATCCTACGTTCGATGCCGGTGTTGGCCGTGAATGTTCATCGGAATTTTCTGACGTGTACCCCCCCCCCCCCTCAGTAGAGCAAGACAGAGGGCCAGTATGGTCGTTCGTATGGTATGAAATGGCGTACACGTAAAAGATCCCCTGGCAGTTGAATATCGACATAAGAGTAGAGCGCTGTCCCGGCAAAATTTCCCTCATGGCTTTTGGTCATGTGGGGGTTGAGCGCGACGACGAAGTGTGATGGACGAACATACTTATATACATACACATACATCTTCATTAGCCAAGTCGGAGCAGCACAGGAGGACGTTAAACTCCATTTCATTTCATGATTTGGTGAAAAAATATTGTGCATGGGCCCTTACAACAGACATTTTATTGGGGCGGCAATGCTGACAGGAATCAATATAAATAAAATCAAAGATGTATGTGTATGTATATAAGTGTGTTCGCCATCACGCTTCTTCGTCGTGCTCAAAGCCTACATGACACCGTAAATGTTTTAGGCCATCGCATTTGGCCCCCGGGCGAATTGGGCGACATTGACTTCGTTCAACCGCCGTCTTTTCGAATTGACATTAACGCACACCATGGCCAAAGAGCTGCAATTTTTCAGCTGAACATGAAAGCAAGAGCTAGTAGAAGTTGAACAAAACCATCCGATTTGACACGGATGTGCATAGTAGACAAAAAAAAAATACCCCCCCCCCCCCACAAAGTACAGCTACTTATGATTTCCGCGTGCATTTGCTCACCCACGGAACATTTACGCGGAAACGCTCCTATAACATTCCATTAGACAGACATTATCGCCGGTGGAAAAACGACATGGAAAGCGTACCCTAATAGTGCCATAGATATAAGAACTCAGTTGCAAGAATACGCCAAAACCATTATGAATCCAACAGTCATAATGCCAATGGTCATAATGTTGAATCTCAAGAAAAGTAGGTCCAATATTTTGGGTATATCCTTCCAATCCAAATCTAATTCTGGATTATTTTCCATTGCTTCCCTTTGTAGGCTCACATCTGGTTTCATTGTTGACGTTGATTGCCGATCGGAAGTGGAATCTGTAACTACATTATATCTTCGTTTGCATTTCTTGTAGCACCCCAATCTTCCCAGAATGTTCTTGTATAATCTTTGTAAATTGTATCCATACAGGAATTGGTTCCTCGTTTTCGTAGAAGTACAATCGGATGACGACAGTGCTCAGACCCACTGCCAATGCCCACATTATCAACACTGCTGAGAAATAGACGACGGCAATGAATCAATATATCATACATATTAAAAACAACTTTGGCCGGGGTTATTCAAATTTGTTGTGAAGCGTTGGGGTTAAGAAAGGACGAATAGAGGTTACAAGAGTTTTTTTCTTCAAATTTGAAGCATTAGCACTGTGATGGGATGAACCCCAATGTCAGTATTCTACTGGGGAGCCCCGTTGGCTCAGCGAGTAAGACGTTGGCTAGCTAACCTGGAGATCTCGTAATCAATCCCTGTGTTGGCCGAGAAAGTTAATCTGGATTTTCCGACGTGGTTCCTCCTT